GGATTGGTTGGGTAGCTGGTTGGTTAGATAACTGATTGGTTGAGTAGCTGTTGAGTTAGTAACATGATTTGTTGGATCCCTAGTGTGGTAGTGAGCTGATTGACTCTGTTTCTGGAGACTATGTAAAGCCAGAGAACTGGTCCTAGAAAGGCCCTTGTTGTTGTTGTTGTTGAGTGCCATCGAGTCAGTTCCAACTTATAGAGACCATTTATAGGGTTTTCTAGACTATAAATCTTTGTGGACCAGAAAACCTCATCTTTCTCCCTCAGTGTGGTTGGTGGTCTCAAACCACTGAGCACCTGGTTTGAAGTTCAATGCTTATCCTACTGAGCCCTGTTGTTTTGTTGTTAAGTGCTGTGGAATCTTTGACTCATAGTGACCCAGTATAAGGTTTCCAAGGAGTAGCTGGTGAGTTTGAACCTTGTGGTTCACACCAACCTTGTGGTCGAGTACTTATCCTATAGCAACCATAGCAGGACTCCAGAAGGGAGTCATGCAAAAATGTATTTACACAAATTCTGCCTTTTTCTTGTAGAAAAGATGTCAGAAATCACAAAACAACTTCTTGAAAGCTATGACATAGAAGATGTAAGAAGCAGGTAATCAATTCTCTTTTTTGCTTTATTAATCATTATATACTTTTAAGCATTTAAAAGCATGTAAAACATGAGGAAGGTTACTTTCTTACTTTCTTGGCTTTCCAGGCTCTCTGTGGAAGATTTGGAACATTTAAATGAAGATGGAGAACTTTGGTTTGCTTATGAAGGACTAAAGAAAGCAACACGGTTAGAAATTTCCCTCAGCATTCTTTTTTATTTTTAAAATATCTCTTGACTCAGGAAGTCATAGAAAGACTGTAAGAAAGTCAAAAGTTTATCTTTCATGGTACAGAGAGTAAATTTCTTACAATAGAATGATCTAATCACTACTAAAACTACTTCTCTCAGACTTAAGTAATTAAATAATGAATGGCAATCATTCAATGGACTAACCTGCCTAGTAATAGTCAAAGCCTGGAGAGTGAAACATGATGATGCTCAGTAAGTTGTCCAATGTTACTACGGTGGTGGTTATGTGCTGTAGAGTCAGTTCTGACCCATGGCCACCTAGCATAGTGTTTCTGAGGCTGTAAGTCTTTATGGGAGCAGAAAGCCTCAGCTTTCCCCCATGGAACAGGTGGTAATTTCGAACTGCTGACTTTGAGGTTAGCAGCCCGATATGTAACCGCTGCGCTACCGGAAATCTAAACCAAAAACAAACTCACCGTTGTCAAGTTGACTCTAACTCAGCAACCTTGGAGGACACAGTCGAGGTGTTCTATTGGGCTTCTGAGACTGCAGATCTTGATGGGATCAGACAGCCTCTTCCTTGGAGAAGCTGGTGGGATTGCACTTAGTAGACTAATGCTTAACCCACCATACTATGAGGTCTCCTTTGCTAGGTATATTTCAATTTAAGAGTTTGATGAATATTTTTAAATTAGTAAGAGAGGGAAAATGTGATTTTAATAAATGCTTCCTAAATGGCTAGAGGGTTTTATCATTGTACAATCCTAATTTCATAGCTAGAGTCCTGGTGTGGTGCTTTAGAATCAGCACTAGACTGCTAACCCCAAGGTCTGTGGTTCAAACCCACCAACTGCTCCTCGGAAGCCCCATATAGAGTCACTCACTGTGAGTCGAAACTGACTGGACGGCACTTAACAACAACAGTGCTGTAGCCAAAGCCCTGGTCACACAACAGTTAAGTGCTCGGCTGCAAACAAAAAGGTTGTCAGTTCAAACCCACCTATTAGCTTTGTGGAAGAAAGACCTAGTAATCCACTCCCATAAAGATTGCTGTTGTTAAGTGTCTCTGAGTTGGTTCCAAATCATGGCAACCCTGTGTAGGGTTGCTGAGGAGCAAGTGGTGTGGAACAGTTCCTACTCTGTAAAATTGCAGGTTGAAACTGACTCAGTGGCACCTAACAACAACAACAACAAATTCCATAGCCTGTGCCTGTGTATATAAGTCAACTTCATGGACTTAATGTATCTTTAGATTTTAGTAATCTACACACACACACAGCCATCATGACAGTAGAATGAAGACCTTCTACTCTAGTTTATTCCTTCCTCTAACAGTGTTTTGGAAAGTCATTTCCAGTCCCAGAAGGACTGCTATGAAAAAGAGATTGAAGCCTTGAACTTCAAAGTGGTGCATCTAAGTCAAGAAATCAACCACCTGCAAAAAGTATTTAGAGAAGAGAATGACATCAACGAAAGTATCCGTCACGAAGTTACCAGGCTGACGTCAGAAAACATGGTATGGTCTCAGCCATGAGCCCCTGGCAAGGCCCTATTTCTAGACACATTATTTGTTGGTAGAGCAAAATTCGGTCGTCTGGCAGTAAAATGATGGGTATGCATTACCAATTCACTGGGTCAGATGATAAAATTGTATAATTTCCCCAGACTTGAGAACACTTTGATTGAAAGTTTGTTTGTTTACCATAGAAGGTGCTCAGATTTTATGGTGTGTGTGTGAATAACCCCTTGGAAAGTGGGAGGGGGTGGAATAAAGGTAGAAGGTTGGCCCATGAGAGAGGAATGAATTGGGAAGGCCAGTGCCCCTGCTTATGCCCTGGAGCTTACCTTCTCAAGGACTTCTCTCCCCTGGTGCCCTCCTGTCCCACTAGTTTCATCCTGCCTTCTGACTTATTCCTACTGGCATGAAGAAATGCTATCAGAAGCTTCAAAACACTCCTTTCTTAATCCCACATCCCCTGAGCTGGCCAGGTTTCTTCAAAGGCCTTTTATCCATACCTCTGCTTTTCCCACTTACTGTCTGGCCATCCCATTCTGCCCTGTGCCCCATCCACTAACAATCTGTCTTGACAGGAGGAAACCACCAGGGTTCCGAGGCTTCATCTGACTCAGTCTCTGAGCAGCACTTGACAAAGTTCATCACTTACTGAGCACTCTGTCCTCTTGGCTTCCAGGATACCACACTCTCCTAGGTTTTCTTCCTGTCTTATTGGCTGTTCCTCCTCAACTGCTTTCCTGTCTCCTCCTCTGCACTGACCTGGAATTATCAGAACATCTCAGGACTGCATCATCAGATGAGCAGGCTTCATGTCTTAGTTTATTCCTTGGGTGAAACTTTGACTGAAGTATTTGCTATGAGATCCATTGCCCAATCAAAGAAATAGTCATTTGAACTTCAGAGGCATAGGTATATTTATAAACTTGACTAGCAGAAAAGCTTTCTAACCAACCTGGAGAGTAAATGATGGACATGTAAAGAGATATACAGATAGACAAGGACGAAGGGACAATGGACTGTGAGCAGCAGACTGGATGGCTCCAGACCTCCGCTAACAGAGCAGTCCACACTCAGAGACCAATGATGTCATGAGAAGATGATGTCTTGGGTCTAGACCAAAGAGACTGTGTGCCATTTCCTCCCAGTGCAGAGTGATGTCCATGCCCCTCCCTCAACTCAACAAAGGATTCCCATGTGCCCTCTCCCACAGTGCACTTCTTTTTCCCAGAAGTCTTTAGTGATGCCAGGGGTTGCACCTGGGAGGGAACTGCTTCCTCAGAGTATACTGGCATGCCCAGACACTATATCTGTTTTGGGATTAAAAAAAGAAAAAAGCACAAAGCCAGTCCAATCTAATGCTTTGATCAGGCTTCTGAACAACTGTGCTACACATGGTGTCCTGGTGTGGCACTGTGGGATAAAGCACTGGCCTGGAAGGTCAGTTTGAACCACAAGGTCGGTAGTTCAGACTCATCAGCCACTCCGTGGAAACCCTATACAGGGTTGTTAGGAGTTGAAAGCAACTCAATGGCACTTAATGGTAGCAACAACATACTACACATATGTTCCGTAGTTTGCTTCTACATTATCTCTGAATTTTTAAAGCTCAGAGATGAAAGTATCTTCTATTCTAATGTTTGTAATTCTACTCTAAAGATGATTCCAGACTTTAAACAGCAAATTTCAGAACTGGAGAAACAGAAACAAGATCTTGAAATCCACCTGAATGAACAAACTGAAAAAATGAGAGGTAATTGAAACTCTCATGGGCCTGCCTGTAGAGTGGTTTCCTGTCCCCAGGAAATGGTACCAGAAAGTCATCTTACCCAGGAGTCTCAAACAGATTCTCCCCTGGCCCGGGTGACATCAGAGTGAGAAATGGGGAGGGCAGCGGGAATAGTAAGATGTATGGGACTGGAGAGAATGGGCCCCAATTAAAGATGTCTCTCAACTTCTTTGGTTGTTTCCAAGTGGGGACATGGGTGCCACTGTTGCTAGATTTTCAGATTTTTAAACAAAAGCTATCAGTCCAAACTTTTATGTAAAATACCACAATTTTAGAATATCAGTTTAAAATTTTTTTAAATATTGCTCAGTCCAACCAAAACCACATTGCTAGGTACACAGTTTAAGACCTACCATAACTGAAAATGAGACCAAACCCGAACCAGGATGCAATCAAATGCAAAATATGACATTTCTTCTCATTATAGGAAAACTAGAGGAATTGTCTAATCCATTGAATAACACCCATGAAGGGACACGGAGAAAGTAAGTGTTAACATGAATGTGCTTCAAGTTCATGCTCATATTGTGTTTTTCTTAAATTGTGGACAATTCTAAGACGTGTTCTTAGGCCAAAAAAAGCAAGTTACTGATTAGTGTGTGTCTGAAGCTGGGTTTTCTAGAGAAGCAAAGCCAGTGAAACATACATATGTATATACTTACAGAGAGTAATTTATTATCAGGAAATGGCTTACAATTTCTGAGTCCAAGGTCCCTAGCAGAAGAAAGAACCTTTCCTGCATGTCCAATGCATTGGGAGCAGGCCACACCCCCAAGGAAGCAGCCCTTCAATTGATTGGCTGTTCACAGCTACTCATCATAGAGTTAACTATACCTGTATTAGGTTTTGTCACCATGGGAATAAGCCCATCTTAGCTGCTAAACCCTGGAGATCCTGGCCTAGTCAAGTTGACACAGAACCCTAACTATTACAATGTGCTTGATTCAAGTTGGGGGGAAAAAAAGAAATATGTTTACACATACATGCACAATTTGTCAATGGATGGACTGTCTGAGTGAATGAACAAGAAACAAAACATTGGTTGATTCCAGAGAGGGTAATTGTAGCTAAGACACAGGGGAAGGGAGGAGATTAACTTTTTATTGTTTATACTTTTGCACCTTTGGAATATTATGCCATCTCCATGAATTATCTATTCAAAATATGGATAGAGTAAAATTGTGTGGGAGAGAAGAGCTTTTTTGAGCAGATTATTTAGGGTCAAATCTGTGTTGCTAGAGTTCAATGCTAACTTCCTACCCTGCTCAAATGTACATCCTGCAGTAGCTCAAAAGAGAAAACAAATCTTTACAGCGAAGATCGTTTCCACCCCCTCCATACACAGAGTAGACAGGGATGCGCAACTTGAACATTGGCTAACCCAATAGGGGGCCTACAAATTCAAGAAGTGACTGGCTTACAAGCTTTCAAGAGGGAGCCTAGATCCAGAGGGCCTGGAGGAAGATAGAATCTCCACTGAGTAGTATCCAATCTGTCTGGTCAGGGTGATAAAAGGAGATGGGGATAGGTCTCTTGTGGTACAATAGTGAATAATTGTTATCAGGACTGATTGTGAGGGTTGGAATTGTAAAGGTAGACATTTTGTAGCAAGGAGAGGAGTGATTAACTTTGCAGTCTAGGAGCAGAGGTCCCTGGGACCATGACGGGAGAAGTGCCGAGAACAGGACCCTACCCAGAGAAGCAGTGATGCCTGAGATGGAGGCAGAGATGATGACATGGCGAGATGGAGACGCTGGGGGACCTGGAGAGGGAGAGGGGCTGTGTGCTGACTACTAGGGTGGGGGGCAGGCTTGCAGGGTATATACCCTTTTGTTGGTTGATGATGCATGGAGGGGATTGTAACCATGGCAATGAAATGATATACAATAGAAGGAATGTAAAACTAATGTTCTCCCATGTAAAGTATCACATAATTCACAAAATAAAACTTTTTTTTTTTTAATGTGCTTCCTGATCAGCAAAGGGGCTAGTGCCCTAGTGGAGCCCTGTGAGGAGAATATTTTGTTTGAGACACTTATATTTTCCACAAGAGTAAATGGATACTCTACATCTTTGAGAGTTTTTTTAATCATGTGACTTTTTCAATAGCCTTAAGACCAAATGAGGACCCAAAATAGTAGGACGGTAGTGAGATACCATTTTGTAACTCTTTTGATGAGCTCTCCATTTTTCTTCTCTCCAATCCCTAGATTTTTGGGTGTTTAGTTCCCAGACTGTTTATTATCATTTGATTGCCCAGGTGGTAAGGGTAAGGGTGTGCTTAGGGAGCAACGAAGGAGGTGTAGTGGGGTGAGGGTGGGAATCTCTTAGTTAGCGAGGCTGGAGCAGACCTTGGACAATTATATGTCCCAACCAAGCGTGGTTCTCTTCCTCCTACTTTAAGGACTCCCCTGTTCAGGGACTCTTTGTTTGACCCATAAATTAGCCAAAGTCTTATTCCATCTTTGAAAATGTCAGTGTTTGTCATGACAACAAGTGCCTTCTCCATGATGGGTCAAAGTGATAGAAAAAATTCCTTTAATCTTTTCTCAGAACGCAAGAAGTCCTGAATGAAATCCACACCAAAGAACAAGAGAAGCTCATCAGTAAGATTCAAGAAATGCAGGAGGTCAGCGAACATTTGAAGAAACAATTTGAAACTGAAAGTGAAGTCAAGAGTAGTTTCCTGCAGGAAGCATCCCGCCTCACTATGGAAAACAGAGTGAGGGTTTTTCTAACTTTCTGCAGAGCCCTCGGAATTCAGGAGGAAGCCAAACACTCTACACACTTTATGTTGTTGTTGTGATTAGTTGTCATCGAATCAGTTCCAACTCATGGTGACCCTACGTGTGCCCAGTAGAACTGTGCTTTGTAAGGTTTTTAAGTGTGTGACCTTTCAGTAGATCACCAGGTCCATCTTCCCAGGTACTTTTGGGTGGGTTTAAACCTCCAACCTAGCCATTTGCAACCCAGGGACTGCTATGCCCATCTTAGGAAATGTTTGTAGGCATCTAAGAACATTCCAGTCTTGAGCCGTACACAGCATTGGCAAGGTCACCTTACCAGGAAGGAAGTGCAAAACCCAGGTCCAACTTTCTGTACTATTTCTCTGCCTCCAGCTTCTAACATCCAAAGAGTTAATTGTCCACATTCAGAATTTTTAAGTTCTCTACAATGAGGAGTCCTGGCATGGTGTTTTGGGATAGGTGCTCAACCACACAGTTGGTTTGAGCCACAAGGTCAGCTGTTCACACTCACCAGCTGCTCCTCAGAAACCCTATACAGGGTTGCTATGAGTAGGAAGTGACTCGACAACACTTAACAACAACAAAATAATGAGCATTGCTTTATAGTAGAGAGAAAACACACATAACCAAAAAAAGCCAGTTGCCATCAATTTGATACAGTTCATGGCAACCCCATATGTGTCAGAGTAGAACTGTGTTCAGTAAGCTTTTCAATGGCTGATTCTTTGGAAGGAGATTGCCAGGACTTTCTTCTGAAAGACCTCTTAGTGAACTTGAACTTCTAACATTTCAGTTATCAGCCAAGCATGTTGATTCTTTGTACCACTAGGGACTCCAAGGGAAAAAAATGGGTCAAAGTAAATGTAGTATATCCATACAGTGGAATATTATTCGGCCATCAAAAGAAATGAAGTATAGATACATGCTAATATTTGGTTGAACCTTTCACTTCTTATGGTTCAAGAGCCTGACACAGAAGGGCACATGGTGTACTATTTTATTCCAATGAAATGTCCAGAATAGAAAAATCCACAGAGACAGAAGGTAGATGAGTGGTTGCCTAGGCCTAGGGGGAATAGAGAGTTCAGAGGACGGCAGCTGAAGGCTTCTTTTGGGGGCAGTGAAAATGGTCTAGAATTGATTGTGGGGATGTTGCACAGCTCTGTGACTGTCCTAAAAGCACTTTAAATGGATGTATACTATAATATACGAATCACATCTTAAAACAGCTGTTACCAAAAAACTGGATGTAAGATGCTGTTAAGCTAATGTCCTTGTTTCTGTTTATTTCTGTAGGATCTTGAAGAAGAGTTAGACATGAAGGATAGAGTGATTAAAAAGCTACAAGATCAAGTCAAGACTTTAACCAAAACAATTGAAAAAGGTAGGAGAAATGATATCCACGTTCTTACATTTTGAGTTTTCAGGTAAGATCAACATGCATCTAATTGTTGGTTTCCTGGCGTAGTCCATAAAGAATAAATGAAAACCCAAAGGAATGACTCTCAACAGGTGATGTCTGGGGACCAGTGATGAGTTAATGGAATGATCTTTTGAGGCAGGAACACAGCTTTCCTGAGAATACCAATAAATGCAAGGAACTTTTTTCCTCTGCCTTTCTTTGTTCCCCCTTTAAAAAATGAAACTGTGAAAGAGTTTAAAAGTTGATTGTGTAGAAATGCAACTGCTTTTCCAGTTACAAAGGATCAAAATCCCTATTTCTATTAGAATACATAGAGAACTAAGGATGCCAGATGATCCTAACCATCTGGTCTCTTAGAATTTCCTCATTGCACGAGTTTCTGTGAAAAGGACTCTCAAGCCTTTCTTTCTTTCCTTAGTTTCTGTGTCACTGACCTTTCCCTGGCTTTTGCTCTCTTTTAACATGCTTCACTTTTGCTCTTTATTTCTTCTTTTTCTTCCCAGCCTTTATCGCTAACGCTGCCTCTTCATGATCTGGTCCTTTCACCTCTATATTCACTTCTTTGAAGAGTCCCTTTGTTCTCATTCATTCAACTGTCACCTCAAATTTAAAAGATCCAGAACTGAACTGATGATCTTTTTCCTCCAATAATAAGCGATAGAAATCTGCTCTATGAGGTCAGGGATCTTATCTGGTCTTCCTGCCCCTCATTGTGTCTTCATTGTTGGAATGAATGGACTGTCATCTCTCCTTTAGAACTACCAAAGGCACAGTCCAATCCTGGTATCTTCTCCTGAGTCCCACTCCTCCTTTGCCTCTCTGTCATGATCTCCAACTCAACGTGTCTAAATCTGAACTCATTAGCTTCCCTTTCTATTGATACATAGAAAGTTACCCCAAAGCTTGGCAACTAAAACCAATAAACACTGAACAAACAGCACACAATTTCTGAGAGTCAGGAACCCAGGAACAGCTTAGCAGGGTGTTGTTAACTCAATCATCAGCCAGGGACACTGTCACGTGAAGGCTCGAGGATCACTTCCAGGCTCACTCACGTGGCTGCTGGCAGGAAGACAGTGTCTCACGAACACACTGGAGGCACTACGTTCCAGGGCCCCTGCTGGGAACATACCTAGATCCAAGGCATTACATTCAAGAATGTCCAAAATATGGTATGTCCGTCAGGTATTTCTGCTTCATTTAATTGGTAAGGTGTGCTTTACCAATCAGAAGTCGCTGTGACCATGAGCAGTGTTGCAAAGTTAAGGCAGTTGACATTCTACCTTTATCAGTTTCCAGAGGAACTGAGCTAGTAAGTTAACCACAGGGAAATTTTTCATGCAGTAGAAAGAACGTTTTGCTAACCCTTGACCCACACACGTTATTTTAGCAGCCACCAGAGCCAACTCATGTGTCTTGGCCCAACTGGAATGGCACCTCCTCCATGAAGCCTTTTCAATAGCTCCAGCCTAGCTGTCATGTTCCCATGACCCCTGTACTGGCTTTCAATCGCTGCTGTAACAAATGACCACAAACTCAGTGGCTAAAACAACTCAAATTTGTTATCTTGCAGTTTTAGATGTCAGAAGTCCCAAATGGCTTTCATTGGGTTAAAAATCAAGGTGTCTGAGGGCCACATTCCTTCAGGAAACTCTGGCAAGAATCCATTTTCTTGCCTTTTCCGGTATTCCTTGGCTTCCTTCTTCCATCCTCAAAGATCACAGCAAAGTATCTTCAGAATCTTTCTTCTTCCATCATCACATCTTCGCTGAGATCAAGGTGAATCTTTGAGGACTAGAAAACAAACTGTGCCCTCCCATCCACCACCAAAAACATCTACATCCTAATTTCTGTTCTTGTTGGTTGGTGCCGTTGACTGGGTTCAGACTCGGGGACACTATATACAACAGAATGAAGTCATGCCCAGTCCTGCCACATCTTCACAGGGATTACGTTTGAGTCCACTGTTGCTGCCCCTGTATTTTTTTTCACTCACGCTCTACTTTCCCAAGCGTGATCTCCTTTTCTAGGAACTGGTCCCTCCTGACAGCATGTCCATAGGACATGAGCCCACGTCTCACGTCCTCACTTCTAAGGAGCCTTCTGGTTTTACTTCTTCCAAGACAGAGCTTATTAAATGTTCATCTGACAGTCTGTGGTATATTCAGTATTCTTCACCAGTGCCGTGATTCAAATGCATGAATTCTTATCTTGTCTTCCTTATTCCTTATTCAGCTTCTGCATTCATATGAGGTGACTGAAAATACCATGGCTTGGGTCAAGTGCACCTTAGTTCTCAAACTGATATCTTTGCTCTTCAACACTTTAAAGAGGTCTTGTGCAGCAGATTCCTAATTCCTCAAACCTGTGAACATGTTACCTTATATGGCAAAAGGAATTTTTGCAGATGTGATTAAATGAAGCGTCTTGGATTTTCTAGGCAGGACAAGTATACATCACAAGGACCTGATAGCGTGAGTGTCAGAGGGACAGGGTGAGATGGGCTGAAGAAAGCAGAGGTCAGAGCAGTGTGGGCACCAGCCAAGCAGTGCAGGCAGCCTCCAGAAGTGGGAAGAGACAAGAAAATTCTATTTTACCCTAGAACCTCCAAAAGGAATGCAGCTCTGCTGACACTTTGATTTTAGCTCTGTAGGACCCATTTTGGACTTCCAACCTCCAGAGTTAGGTAGTGCATTTTTGTTCCTTTTCATTACTTTGTTTGTGATCATTTGTTACAGCAGCAATAAGAAACCAACACAGCCACCTTAGTCAGGTATTGTGTACACCAAATGTTTCATGACTCTTGCTTCTTTCACTGTAACATTCACATCCTGAGGATAGGACCAGCATCTTGAACATTTTTCATATGCCCACACTGCTGGAAGCATATCAGCTGTACATAAGGACTCCTCCAAGAGTAACTCAGTTTTACCCATATAGATAATACTCACAGGTAGGGATTGCCACTAAGAACAAATTCCTCAGGATATAATAAAGTTTTAGGAGTTCATGCCAGATTGGGTGGAAAGAGACTGCGAAATCTCATTAGAAAACCTGTAGTAGAAGCTCTGTGTGTGTGTGTGTGTTTAGCTGACCATTTGCTTCTGTCTACAGCCAATGATGTGCACTTATCTTCAGGACCCAAAGAGTACCTCGGAATGCTGGAATACAAGAGGGAAGATGAAGCCAAGCTCATTCAGAACCTCATTCTTGGTAGTAAAATCTGAAAATCTGGAGTTTTGCTTGTCTTTGAAAACCTGAACTTGGTCACTGTTAGGTCCTTGGAGAAGTGGCAGACCCTTCTCCTCTCTCTTCCTCCATTGCTCTTCCCTTAGTCTGAGTTTTCTCAGCCTCAGCACTATTTGGCCAGGTAATTCCTTCTGTGGGGGCTGTGCATTGTAGGACATCCCTGGCTTCTACGTACTAGATGCCAATAACAACTTCTAGTCATGACAACAGAAAAATGTCTTCAGGCATTGTCAAATATCCCCTTGGGAAAGGGTACAAAATTGCCCTCAGTTATATGCCACTACCTTACCTTTTCCAAAGTTAATCATAAAACACAGTTTCTCATCTCTGTTTCAAGAGAAGAGCCGTCATGGAAATAACTGCACCTTCCATGCGCCATTTTGTTTCTACTGAGAGATTTGTGTACAGACAACATGACAGGGGATACCAGACTTATCTCAGTCATAAGTATGCCCCTTTGTGCATGCTCAAGGATTGAAGGATTTAGAACTAATCTCACTAGACCCTCTTTACCATCAGCCATCATCATCTACATGGTCCCACAGAGGGAGGAAGAAAAGCTATCTCTTTACCAGTTGGTCCCAAGATCTCTAAACAGAAAGCTAGCTGATGGGTAGCCATACTTCCTCTTTTTCTAAGTGATCCCCTTCAGAACACATCAAGCACACTTCCTTTCTACCTTTGCTGGCACACAGCTCTGGGGTCTCTTCTTTGTCCCACTGTCTCAGCGCAGTCATGGGAATTCTTTGCTTGCTTCTTTCCCTCCATAGGGAAGAGCACTGGAGGAAGAGAGAGGAAGAGGAGGAGAAACTGTGGAATTGGCTGAAGTTCAGGTTCTCCTTCACTGTATCTCCTTGCTGTTCTCTTCTGTCCAAGACCAGCTAGGCCATCTCTACATCATGTACCTGTTCCCCTACTCGGTACAGGTTCATGTGACTGCTGAGATCGTAGCCAGCCCTCATCAAAGAGGCTCAGGTGGTGGGAGTGGGTCTGGAGTTCCTTTCCTACATCTGGGTTCTGAAATCCAGGGACACCATACCAGGGAAGAGGAACAAATTCTGACTCTTCTTAAACCTTTTGAAGAGTGGAACGTACTTTATAAATGAGAAGAGGAACAGGTGGTACCTGCATATTTTTTGCCTAGAAAGGAACAAGACATTTTCTTCAAAGAGAAAAGAGCTCCCTATATATTCAGCTGCTGCCTCAAATATGGAAAAAAAAATAAGCCCCCTGCCCTACCTTATTGCTAGAGGTTCCTTAGGAGAAGAGCTGACTTGTTACTTGTAACCCTTAATGACTCTCTTGACTCCAGACTTGAAGCCTCGTGGTGTGGTGGTAAACATGATCCCTGGGTTGCCAGCTCACATCCTGTTCATGTGCATACGCTATGCAGACTCCCTCAATGATGCCACTATGCTGACGTCCCTCATGAACAGCACCATTAACGGCATCAAGCATGTGGTGAAGGTAGGTACTGCCTTTGACATTGGCCCTTGGTGTCATATCTAAGACAAAGATCAGTGTCATATAAGGGCTCATGTGACAGCAAGAGAGAGTTCATCACTCATTTCCTTTCTAGCTTTGGCATAACCCTAAAACCATTATTAGTCTACTGAGTCGTTTCCTAGAAACTCAAGTGGTAAATGAGTAAATAACTATGTAATTTAGCATTGACAGTTCCTTTAAACAGCCCTAGGTCCTTGTTCATAGAATCAGTTTGGCAGCAGTGAATTGGATTTTTTAAAGGGCTTTGGGTTCTTTCTGACAGAACAGTTGCTCTGTATAAAGAGCTCTTTGGGAACACTTGGCTTAGCCTCGAATCTTGGGATAGCCAGTTCTGAGCGTGTGAGGAAAAAAAAGATTAGAGTTTTTTTTTGCTATTCTGGGTATGCAAAATCCATTAGCCAATACTAAGTGGAGGCAGTAGTAAATTCCACTGTTTTTCCCCTGGGGAAAAAAACATCTGGTTCACAAGTATATTAAAAAGTCCAAGTTGTCGGGTATCCTAACTCAGTAGGCCACATAGGAAACCCAAAATAACAAACCCACTGCCATCCAGTGGGCTCCAACTCATAGCAACCCTGTACAGGGTTTCCAAGGCTGTATATCTTTATAGGAGCAGAAAGCCTCATCTTTCTCCTGTGGAGCGGTTGGTGGGTTTGAACTGCCAACCTGGTGGTTAGCAGTAAAGCGCTTATCTCCTATAAACTACCTGTGCTTCTTAGTTCTCATGGTAAGGAAACAGTAAAATATCTAGTATCTTTCATTCCCCTGCAATAGAGAAGCAGTGTTTGAAGGGATGTATTGAGCTTTACGGTGGGAGGTAGGGCCTACATCACTTTTAACAAAATGTATGTTCTAGAAGAGTCATGAAAAATTACATTTTATTTCAAATATACTAAGAAGAGGAAGGAATCAAAACAGTGGACGTGTGAGAGGTCAGAATAGGGGTATTTCTTCCCCTGCCCACCCCCACCCCCATGAGCTCAGCAGAAAGGAGTTGTGTTAGCATCTATTTAGTTTCCAGGCTCTTTACACTCACTGTCTTCACAGAAGTCACAGGGGAGTGGTCGGGGGCGGGGGGGAGGGGAGTTCTTGGAAGGAGCTCCTATAAATTTCTGTTTCTGTCATTCATATTTCCATAAATTGGGTATTCTTAAGACAAGATAAACTTGGATAGTGTTTCAGGCCATAGACACCTAAGTATCTGCCTCATTTTGCTGCTCATCAGTGCACTTTTGGGAGATGTTTAGCTAAATATTTATAAACCAATAGATACCTGGAGACTGGGAGTCTAAGTGCCTTCTCTCACTGGCACTCGATCCTCCTTCTCCAGATCTCCCTCCCTCTGCCTCTGTGTCTCCAGAACCTGTCCCATCACTACCTCCAGCCTACAGACACATGGAAGCCACCTCCATCTCCTCTTTAGCCTTGGTTCCATTTTTCTCTGCACCCAATGACTGCCACGGTGCTTAAGCTAGTGGGCTCCGCTGATTCTCTTCTCACAACTTACAATCTGGCTTCTACACTACACTCTACTGAAAGGTTGCCAGTAATTTCGTCTTACTAAATCATAGGCTGTTGCCTTCATTTTCATTCTCCTTAAATTGACTGAAGCATTACCATCATCACTTTGAGACTCTCCTACTTAGTATTTCAAATCCCAAGATTTTCTTGGTTTTCCTCTTGCCTCTGATCACTGTTCCTCTGCCTACTTTGCTGATTCTTTCTCTTCTTGTCCCTTAAGAGGAGTGTTCGCCCCAACAGAATCCTTGATCTCAAATTCTTGTCTGCCCACCATCTCTCCTTCTACCTCTTTCATGAGGCTTTCTCAGCTGCCTTAGTGCCCTGTCATCTCTCTCTCCTCCCAAGTTTTTATAGCAGTCCATTTTGATCATCTGGGCATTTCTCACACTCATTTAACTGTGTCCTACATAAGGTACATCTGTCTTAACAGTCACAATGGGAACTTTGGAGGGAATGACCAAGGCTCAACATTTCACATATGTTCCTGCAATGTCTGCTTCAAGCTTCGTAACTTTTGAGATAACCTGGAAAGAAATATTTTGTAAACTGTAATCTACTATACAAACATCATAAAGTATTTCTACTAGGGTTCCAGTTCATACATGCATGCATTTATTCTAAACAAAATGTGCATAAACATGTCTCTGTGATAAGTGCATGGTTACAGACAAGTTATTTCAGCAGTAAACTTGTCTTAATCTTATGCCTTAGGCCAGGTTTTCTAGAGAAGCAGAACCAGTGAAACATATATATGTATATATAGAGAGAGAAGTTTATTACCTAGGAAATGGCTTAAAGTGGCAGAGTCCTAGATCCCCAGCATAAAAGAGAGAGAGACTTTCCTCCGTGTCCATTATATTGGGAGCAGGTCACACCCCCAAGGAAACATCCTTTCAATTGATTGGCTGCTCATAGCCTGTCATCATAGAGTTAACTATGCCCATATTAGGCCTATCATCATGGGACTAAGCTCATCCCAACTGCTAAACCTCTGGAAATCCTGGCCTAGCCAACCTGACACAGAACCTACACCTTGTTAGGGTGCCTTCAAAAGAAACATCCCATCAAAACAGTGGCTTTTAAAAGAATCAGCTCAGTCAGCTAAGTTCAAGGCAAGGAGGTCAGCTTAGGAAGTACAGTGAATGTTTTGTGAAATTCCACAGGGGTAATCTTGATAAAGGAAAGGACACAGGATGATCAAGGGCCTTCTTAGGAAGCAGTTTTAAGAAAGACTGAATACTGTATTGGTTGGAAAAATTGCCAGAAAAGTTTCAGTGAGGAAATTTTTTCCCATCACAACAATGTATCTGCTCATTCTTGAAGGGTAGCAAGGACTGTCCTATAGAATTTCTTTGGGAAATCTTACCTTATTCACCTTACAGCCTTAATCTTGCCCCTTCAGACTTCTTTTTATTCCCCAAACTCAAAGAACGTTGAAAAGTAACATGATTTGAGTCTTTGAGGATTCCAAAGCTGCCATTTTGATGTGGTGTAAATTGGAGAGCTCAGAATTCTCTGAGTAAAGGCTATAGAGATGGAAACACTGTCTCCACAGGTGTATAGACCTACATGGAGGGGATGCTGAGAAATACAGCTTGACATTTTGATATTTTTGTTTAATAAAGGTGTCTATGATTTTGTATCAATACTTTTTGACTTATTCTCATCTAAGCGTGTATCCTTTTAGTATAAATGTGATAAAGACTTTATGCAATAAAAGAAAAATTAATTTTCATCAGAAGCTACCAGTTAACCAGACAGGTAAGATGTATCTATTCTAGGGATCCGAGGAAACATTATCACCAAACCCAACTTTATGCTTTGGTTTGTTTGTTTTTTTAAGGAACATTTAGAAGACTTTGAGATGCTGTCCTTTTGGCTCTCCAATACTTGTCATTTTCTCAATTGTCTGAAGCAATACAGTGGGGAAGAGGTAGGCACAATTGTCTCCTTTGTGTTTTGTGCTGACTGCTGGTGTATTACCTCCTCTCGAGCAAGTGCTCACTGTAGGGGTTAGGACTCAGAACACTCAACTTCAGGGACAGCCTCTTCTCCAAATGGCTTTCTGGCTTTCTTCTCACTCAGGAGGCCAACTTCACATCACCTGGTGGCTTCTGGGTATGCACCACAGGCAAGAGGCTTGTAGAAAGAGTCTTAGACCTTATACATGTCACTGAGTGTTTCCTGAACTTTTAAGTCAAGGAAGTAGATATGATGATTGTTAAATTTAACTTCTGCCTATAAAATTTTGACTCTAAAATATAGCCTTCGGTCCAGCATACCTGCTTTTTAAGAACTGCTGTCTCTTCTCTACAGTATTGCTTGGTCCCTCTAGATCTTAAAGTTTTGTCTTTTGTCATTCCAGCCGCTTCCAATAGGGGAACATCACAAAGGAGTTCCCTACTACGAATCAGGCTGTGAACCTTAAGGTCAGCAGTTCGAAACTACCAGCTGTTCCACGGGAGAAAGATAAGGCATTCTGCTCCCATAAAGATTTGCAGCCTCGGAAACCCTGTACAGGGTCGCTATGAGTCGGAATCGACTCCACGGCACATAACAACAACAACAACAACTGTCAATTACTTTGTTGTTAAGTACCCTCTAGTCTATTTGACTCATGAGCTACAATAACAAAACAGCTTTTAGGATTTTCACTGCTGCCCTACAAATAGTTTTCCCATTTTATAATCACCAGCCATATATGAATTTTCTAGTATCTCATATCTGTAGCAACGCTTGGGATTTACAGACATTTTAATATTTACCAATCTTACATATGTAAAATGATACCTTGTTGAATTATTTTGTATTTACTTGATCACTAGTGGGATCAGACATCATTTCATAGGCTTATTGATCATTTGGCTTTTCTTTTAAATAATCTCATTACAATTTCTCCGTTTTTCTGTAGGGCTAGTTTTTTTTTATTGACCGTTGTTGTTGTTGTTGTTATGTGCCGTGGAATCGGTTCCGACTCATAGCGACTCTGCACAGGGTTTCCAAGGCTGTAAATCTTTACGGGAGCAGAAAGCCTTATCTTTCTCCCACGGAACAGCTGGTAGTTTCGAACTGCTGACCTTGCAGTTCACAGCCCGATTTGTAACCATTACACTACCAGAGCTCCTTTTATTGATCTTTGGCAATCTCAATATGTTATGGGTAGAATGTGGCTATCTTCTTTTTTTCCATACAGAGTTCTTTGTCACGTATGGTTTTTTAATTTTGATGTACTTACGCATATCAATTTTGTCTTTTAATAATTTGTGTCTTATAGAAGAAATTCTTCCCTACTCTGAGACCATGGTGATTTTATCTTTTAAACTTTTAGAGTTCAAATTCAGAATTGACAGCTCTATTTTTAATGTATCTAAAATTGTTATAATTATCTTAAATTGATATATTTGACCTCACTTTTTTCTCCGTTTGAATAGTCAATTGTCTCAATGGAGAGAATGTAAAATAAAATATAAAAGTCTTGGTGTAGCACTGTGGGATAAAGCACTGGCCTACAAGATCGGTTTGAACTGTAAGATTGGCGGTTCAACCATGTGGTTCAAAAAAAGTCTCCTGATTCTTTTTCACCTATGCTTCTTACCAGAATGTAGTATTCTTGTTGCATGTTTTCTTTCTCTTTTAGGTCTCTGAACATGTTAAGTATATTTAATTTGAAATATTTCAGATCTGCATCTTATAAGTATGAGGTTATAAACTTCTTTTATTTATCTACTGACAGCTTACAGGAGTTCGTTTCCTTGGATGTCCTGGGATTTTTGTCCTCTAAGCTTCTGTGGAAGTTGTTTCCCACTGTGGTCTATAGGCTCTCGGGGCATGTATTTTTAGGGGTGGGGAGGGAGGGAGGGTGGTGACATCCAGATAGTGAGGTTGAATGGAGCTCGTGTAAAAAGAAATCATTGCAACTTTTTCTCCTTATAGGAAATGTATGCTACCTCAGACATCAAGAACTCATGTGAAACAAATCAATCAAACACTTCAAGTTTTACGTAGTGCAAGAGTTACAGCAGTTATAATATCATTACATCAATAGTATTTTACTTTGCTGTATGTCCATATTATTGTAACATTTATATCCTCAAAATTACTTTCAGGAATTCATGAAGCATAACAGTCCACATCAGAATAAGAACTGCTTGAGCAATTTTGACCTTTCAGAATATAGACAAATTCTTAGTGATGTGGCTATACGAATATATCACCAGTTCATTATCGTAATGGAAAATAACATTCAACCAATAATAGGTAAGAAAGTAATTGATGAGTGAAAGATATTTATAGAAACACTGAGACAATATTGTGTGTGTGGAATGTGTGATGACAATTAACATAATTTTTAAATAGAGGACATTTAATTATGTACATGTCCACCTTTTACTTCTTTGATTACTTAAAATTATTCCATAAATAGTAGTACACTGTACGTAGTTTTCTTTCTGCGAGTGTAATTCATCCTGAAGGACAAGATTTGGGAGAATTGCTCCTTCCTACGTGACTGTTCTTAGAGCTTAGTCAAGTATTTTTAAAACCTCAGTATTCTGCTCAGATTTTTTATCCTACTCGGTTATGTAATACTTTTCTTCACTTTCCTCAGTTTTCTGAAATTTAAATACCTGTAGTTTTAGATGATTCCAGACCATAAACTATCCTGTTAATATGCTGTCTGTCTTATGTAGCTTAAATTTTATTAGATTTAGTGTCTAATTTGTAAATGATCCAGAATAAATGCTAAAAGCAAAGTTATTTTTAAAAATTATAAAAAAGTAGTACAGCGTAGGCAGCAAAATTACATTTCTTTTTTAAATTTTTGAGCTGGTAAAGATAATTCTATTGAAGTGCTATGCTCAAGGTGGATGTTTTTTGTTTTGTAACATGGATCCATTTATTAAGCAACATGTGCAAAACAAAAACTCTAGTTGCTACACAGAGAAAAAGGAACAGTGAAAACCAAAATTACACTTTATTTATTGAACAAATAAAACAAATCTGCAATATTGTATTTTCATGTAAACCCTCCTGGTTAACCCAATCATTATATTAATAATAGGTAAATCACTTGGACCATAAACATCAAATGTTTACTTTTAAGGAAAAATAATACAATTTGTTCTCAGAAAATGTGAAGTTATAAAAGGCACTTCAGGACATAAATATGTTCTAGTTTCTCCCTTAAATTCTATAAAGAGGCATGAAGTAACACTGTAAAGTTAAATTGCATTTTAAAATAAGCAGCACTGGATATATGCTGCATAAACATATATACGATGCATTTGAATTGTGGTGTTCTGAAAGAATATTGAAAGTGCCATGGACTGCCAAAAGAGCAAATAAATCTGTGTTGGAAGAAGTACAGCCAGAATGGCAAGACTTCGTCTCTCGTACTTCAAACATGTTATCAGAAGGGACCAGTTTCTGGAGAAGGACATCATGCTTGGTAAGTGAAGGATGGTCAGTGAAAAAGAGGAAGATACCCAACGAGATGGATTGACACAGTGGCTGCAGCAATGGGCTCAAGCGTTAACAATTGTGAGGTTGGCACAGGACCAGGCAGTGTTTTGTTCATTTTTGCATAAGGTCACAATGAGTTGGAACTTTTTTGGCCACACAAACATATCTGTTTTCTTTATCCTGTAAATAAAAATATTTAATTACTGCGCTGAAAACTTAACAAATATTTAAAAATATTTAGAAAAAGCACTTGGAAGAAACAGTATACATTTCTGCTCTCTTCTTTGAGCAAGTCTCTAAGACATGCTCTAAGTTTCACTGCTATACACAGTCATCCATATCCTCTCCCATGCTCCTGAATCCTTGATTCTGTAACCTTCGTCTTCACAACCACATCCACTGACTCTTGCAGAAAATGCCCTCTCTGTTGAAATAGGCCCATGAAAGTCGTGGGAAGCATTCTCTAGATGTAAAAGGAGATTTTTCATTTTCTCTGCAGTGCCAGGCATGCTGGAGTATGAGAGTCTGCAGGGCATTTCGGGTCTGAAGCCTACAGGCTTCCGGAAGCGGTCCTCCAGCATAGATGACACAGATGCCTATACAATGACCTCTGTCCTGCAGCAGTTAAGCTACTTCTACAGCACCATGTGCCAGAACGGCCTGGACCCCGAGCTTGTGAGGCAGGCTGTGAAGCAGCTCTTCTTCTTGATTGGGGCAGTGACCCTGAACAGCCTCTTACTACGCAAGGACATGTGCTCTTGCAGAAAAGGGATGCAAATAAGGTAAGACTTGGCCAAAAAGAATATCCTTACACTCTGAGGTCATGCACTCCTGACCCTCCCCTCCTTCAGCATCAGATTCTCACATGGGCTGTACTAGAGCTATGTACAAGCTGACTCTTATTGAAAATGTTGGCCATCTAATGCCCAACCACTGCTCTCATAACTATACCATGCTAACTTGAACCTTTAGCCTAGTAACTGAGAACTTGTTGTTAACTGCCTTCGAGTTGTTTCCAACTCATAGCGACCCTGTGTAGAGTGTCTAAGGAGCAGTTGGTGGGTTTGAATCACCAACCTTACGGTTCTCAGTCCAGTGCTGAGCCATACCATAGCTGAGGACTAGTTGTTGTTGTGAAGTGCCATCGAGTCAGTTCCGACCCATAGCAACTCTGTATAGGGTTTCCAAGGAGCAGCTGGTGAGCTTGAACTGCCGACCTTGCAGTTCAAATGGCTTTGCAGTCTGGCGCATTAACCCACAGCGCCACAACAGGACTCCCTAGTAGCTGTATATTTAAAATTCTCTGGTAGCGTAGTGGTTACGAATCAGGCTGCGAACTGCAAGGTCAGCAGTTCGAAACTACCAGCTGTTCCATGGGAGAAAGAGGAGGCTTTCTGTTCCTGTAAAGATTTACACCCTCAGAATGAGTCAGAACCGACTCCACAGCACATAACAACAGCAATGGTTACTATACAGTCATCTGGCATTTACTGCCTGTCTTCTTTGCAAATAGTACTTCCTGGTGGAGAACAAAGGAAATGAAAAGGTGATATGAGGTGCTCAAAATAGTGACATAAGAATTCAAGGCAGAAACAAGAGGTGCAGGAAAGACTTAAGAATAAAAGTTGAGAAGCCAGAGAGCTGTGCATTGAGTGATAAAGAAAAGGGAGAAGAACATTCCAGGCAGCAGAAATGAAGCAGGCAACTTCTAGTGGCGGCGCTGAGTTTGAACACCTCCTCCAGCAACAGTGACTAGCTCTGTCTGCATTATTATTCTAGAAATGTTGTCTTGAATGGAACTTTACTGTCCACACAGTTAACGTTTTTAAAGCAAATTTCACTAGTTGTTACAGCAAATTTATCAAAGTTGTCCTGTCATCTTTGATAAAAGTGAGTTCTCTAGTTCACTTACTGTAGTTTTTACTTCTAAAATGTCCAGTCAGTTCCTTTTTATATATCTTCTATTTCTTTTTTGAGACTTTCTGTCTTTCCATTAATTTTGAGAGAGTTTGTCCTTACTTTCTGGAGCACTTTTAGCGTAAGCCCAAACCCATTGCCAGCAAGTTGATCCCAACGCATAGCCATCCTATAGGACAGGGTAGAACTGCTCCTTAGTAGAACGGAGACTGAATCTTTACAGGAGCAACCAGCCTGATCCTTCTCCCAAGGAGCAGCTGGTGGATTTGAACTGCTGACCTTGAGATTAGCAGCTCAGTGCTTAAACCACAGCAACATCTGGGCTTAGGGTCTCATTTTGATGATGGCTATTCTAAGTCTTTCTCAGATATTTCCAACATCTTTGTTATCTCAATGTTGGCCTCTGTGGACTCTTTTTTTAATGTGAATTGAGATTTTCCATGTTCCTCATCTGCCAAGTAATCTGGAATTATATCCTGAACATTTTGAATATCATGAGACTCTGGGTCTTTAAATCCCATAGACGTCAGTAATTTTGGTTTATCTGGCTGTCAGCCGACTGAAGTTCAGTCTGCAAGTTCTGACCACAACAAAAGTAAGTTGTACTTCCCATGGAAGTTCTGTTTGCAAAGGCTTTTGTACTGCTATTTGGTTGGTCCATGTTTGGTTGGCCCCACACTGTGGCCTGGTAGGGACCTGGGTGGTAGTCTAGCCCATAACTCTACCTTCAAGTCTGTTTAGGGTCAGATCCATGCATGTGGAGCTCAGGAGTTCATAAATAATGTTAAGAAGTAACTGTCCCGAGATCTGCCCTCTCTGCGGTCTCTGGGGATCACCTTTTGATTCTCCAGCCTGAATATGAGGCTTTATTGACCTCCCTCTGGTTCACTTCCTTCCATGTCCCCATCTGGGCCAAGCATTCAGAGGACATAGAGAGAAATAAAGAAGCACCCCACCTTCTTGAGATCACGTGTCCTTCAGTTGGAGAGGAAGGTTCCCTCTTTTTGAGGGGACTCTGTATTGAACATTTTGAGGAGCTGCAATACTGGTTTCCAAAGTGGTGGCACCATTTTCGTTCCACCTGCCCAAGCACACACAAGGGATCGGTGACATCTGAGCACTAGAGCCCAGACTTCTTTCTTTATATACCTGTGATCATTAGTGACACAAAAATGGAAACCCCAGTCAACTGAAAGAAAGGCTTCTACCAACTGAAAAATGTCTGCCAATCCAGGAAAAATAAATCAAACACTTTTTAACACAGATCTAAGTTTTCTCCTCAAATATCATTCGGGTGGTTTTTACTTTAATGCAATTCTAAAACTTCATTTTGTAAATTAATGCAATCATTGTTCTTTCCTCATATTTTCCTCAAAGTCTATAACTGTTCCAGTACATTACCCTAGACCATGATCCTGAGAGCTATGAATCACAAGCACTGATCACCTGGTCCAACGCCTCATATTACAAATGAAGAAAGTGGGTCCCATTGGCAGACTGGTTCTAAGGCCCTCAGTGAGCTACAGTGCCCTCTCAGGGGACACACTGGGGTGCTCAGCACCCTGCCATAAAGCGTTCTATCCTCTGCTCCTTTGGCTCTCACTCCAGGTGCAACATCAGCTTCTTAGAAGAATGGCTTAAAGATAAGAATTTGCAGAACAGCTTAGCCAAGGAAACTTTGGAACCTCTCTCGCAAGCAGCCTGGTTGCTTCAGGTCAAGAAAGCCACGGACAGTGATGCCAAGGAGATCTACGAACGCTGTACCTCACTGTCTGCTGTGCAGGTGACCAGGCACTTAGTTCTCCCTGGATCTTCCCCGACAGAGCATCACCTTACCTGGCTTAGTCAGCTGTGGGTTGCATTTGTAAAGAACACTTGGGGGTCATGCTTATCTCCTATGGCCTGCCCTTTTATCTACTTATAAGCATCTTATTTCTATATGTTTATATAGAGAAGTTTTTATATATTTTCATATGTAAAATTTTCATATCTTTACTTTATAAGCATTTATTAAGTACCTACTCTGGGCCTCAAAACCACAAAAATGTATATGACATATTTCCTGCCCACTAAGCTCAGATGTGTATGTGTGTAGGGTGGTGGGAGATCAGGAGGAGATGGGAATTGGCAGTTCTCTAACTGCCATCTAATTATGTGATTTGCCCTCTGTCTCTTCTCATCTGGTCTTCTCCTATCGTGAAACTAGATAATACATGATTCCTTAAGCCATACTGCAGTGTAATAAAAGAACTCTCTGTGGTTCCCAGTGGCTCCCAAACCACCAGAACCATTGTTTCATGGACAGAGTTCTTCTTTTCTCAAGGCCTAACATCTTGCTCTGTAACTTTGCAGATCATAAAGATCCTTAATTCATACACCCCTATAGACGACTTCGAGAAAAGAGTGACTGCATCCTTTGTTCGCAAAGTACAGGTGAGATCCTCAGGGCGGGCCTTTTCTTCTAACTCCTCCTAGGTGTGGGCTAAGAAATGATAGCTTATTTAACATTGTAGAATTTCAGGATCAAAGTACATGTTCCAGACAAGCAAATGAAAGACTCAGGAGGCAGCAGGAATCTTTCCCATCTGATTTCATGCCCCCCATCCCGTTTTCAGAGTCCATTGTAGTCCTTGTGGAATGGCAATGAAAACATCAGACTCATGACTTGCACACTATGTTCCTCAACATATCTTGTTTCTTGCGGGTCTTCAAATACTCTTCAAGTGGGCAGAGGCTGAATGGAAACAAAAGATCCATTTTTTTTCTTATCTTAAACCCATAAGTTTCTTCCCCGATGAACTAGGACAACAGTTGTCAAAGTTTGGTTCAAGGATTCCTGGGGGTCCTTGAGACCCTCTCCAGGATCTTCAAAGTCTTTCTTTTTCCAAATGTATAACTGTGGGGGGTGGGGCTGGAATTTCTCCATAGACTTCTACCAAAATAATCTACCAAAACAGACTGAGTGCAGACGCAGGTACGAGACTCCACCAGTCTTATATTCATCCAGGCATTACAGAGATTTTCAAAGCTAAAACAACATCACTCTTCTCGCTGATTTTTGTTTTGTTTTGTTGTTTTTGGAGAATAGTTGTTTTTCATTTAAAGTATTGTATCTTAACACGTATTGGATTTTTATTTTAATGAATCAAAAAATTAGTATCTTAAATTATTCAATTAGTCACAGTAAATATCAGTAGTTACACTTATAAAGACAAAAGCTATTTGGGGTCGACAATAATATTTAAGAATACAAAATTCTACTCTGTCACATGGAGTTGCTGGGAGTCTGAATGGACTCAATAATACCCAAAAGTTGCAATGGGGTCCTGAGGCCCAAAAGTTTACAAAGTACTGAACTAAGGAAGAGATTGTTGTAAAGTGCCATCGAGTTGGTTCTGACTCATAATGACCCTGTATTAGGTTTCCAAGAAGGGACTGGTGGGTTTGAACCTCCAACCTTGTGATTAGCCGTCTAGTGCTTATCCTACAGTGCCACACTATAGCCCTGATTAGTTCAATGAAAATTTAACATTTACTCATACTTGGACTTAGACTTATGCCATGCAAATAGATACAAGTAGAAGATAGACGTACAGTCAGTCCATCTTGTGGGAACATAATTTTCAAAGTGAAACAGACAAGTAAATCTTGATCAGAGCTGATCTGAGAAGCCCTGGATAGATCACTTCACCCTGGAACTGTGCTGTTCAAAAAGCCCTTTTGTGGGTCATCTCCCAGGATTTTGAAAATTTTCCCTGGCGATAGGGTGGTTGTGTTTTCCTTATACTTAACTCCCAGACTTAGTAGTAAAGCAGAGTACACTGGTTTTCCTTATTCATTTTTCTCGGGTTCTAATTTCAGGCTCTCCTAAATAGCCGGGAGGAATCATCACAGCTGCTGTTGGATACCAAATATCTCTTTCAAGTCACATTTCCTTTCACCCCCTCCCCACATGCTCTGGAAATGATCCAGATCCCCAGCAGTTTCAAGCTGGGCTTTCTCAATAGATTGTAGCAAGAGAAAGGAACGTCTGTTACTCTCACAAAAGCAAAAAAAAAAAAAAAAAACAAAGGTCAGACATGAGGGGCATGATTTCATTAATTAGAACTGGGGATGCTTTGGAATATGATTTAAGGAAGAAAATAGAATTTTCCCAAATGCACCTATTATTTCTTGCTGGCAACGCCTTCTCCTCATTCACGGTGGTGATGGTGGTGGTGTTGCTGCTGCTGCTGCTACAATTTACAAGAATTAACAAACACTAGCTATGGTTGGAAAAGCCACTTAGCTTTGAAATCTCAGCTGGTTTTTATTAGAATTCCTGGAAGGGCTGTATTTTCTTCCAGGTGCCTCTTGGTCCAGTTACATCTCGTGGCAGGGCTCCACTGGCAGGGAGGGAGGGAAGGAGGGAGATCCGAGGACACAACATCTCCCAAGTTTCATGTGATGTCCCAGCACGTTGATGCCAGAGAGGGTGCCAGAGTCTTGCAGGAAATAAGAACATTTGACCATCACGGCCACTAAAAATCCTCTTGCCCCATTCCTGCTGGAGGTGGGGGGAGGATGACATTCACTGAGTCTTTTTACTAAAAATGATTCCTCCTAAAAAACATTTCAGACCACTCTAATTTTTAAAAGATTGTCAGCTATTCAATCTGAACTGCATAACACGAAGTGTTTGGTGTATATAGCTATTTAAAATGAATACATTATTAGCACATAATTGATATGCCATCTCCCATCATGCTCACATGTGTGTCATGCTTTGTTGTTCTATGTATCTTTCATGTAACAATTTCTAAAAAATAAATTTAAAAAGCAGCCTAAGCAATTTTCTCTACCTGAATGTATTTATTTTTAAATTTTTTCATAAGGTTGACTAAAGAATGATGTTAATTCCCTGGCTTGAGAAACCTGTGTTTGTCCGATTTTATGGAAACTGGCTTTTCCTTGTTCCCCCAAAACCTTGTCATTCCTTCTTTTTAGCTCATAAGACATCACGTGGTCACCATTCTCAGCCCGCCTGTGGCCTGTGGATCCATTGCTTTCTGAACACCCCCCCTCCCATGTCCTAATGTCCCTTGTATTTCTGACAGAGTCGCAGGCAATAGCTGGGATTTTTTTGATACAAACATGTACTCGTATTTTAGGAGTGAAAATCATAGATAACTGTGAAGCAACATCATTCTACTAATATAAAATAATATGTTTTTATATTGTAAATTATTATTTTAACTCAGTTCCTTTAAATTTATTGTATATGAAGAAATGAAAAGTAGAACTTCATAATATTTTAATCAATAAAACAAATGCCCAAATGAATTGGGTCAGTTTCTTTTCATTGCTGGGACATTGCATTCCTCTAAAGTAGTTTTATTCCTTTCTTTAAGGGTCATTCTTTCGGGGGGGGGGGGTTTCTTTTCTTTTTTTTAACTTTCTTGTGAATTGAGTGAAGGTTTACAGACGAAGATCACTAGCTTCACATTCAACAAATTATACACTTTGTTACATCTCAGTGATTACAATCCCCCTCCCTGCAATGTTATCCCATGTCCTCCCTGTGATTACCCATTTATATCTTATATTTCACAAATGAACAAAGTAAAAATATTGGATATACAGATATGAAACAAAATATATATATACATTTCAGTATACTAAGGGCATATTCTGCATGCCAGCCTCCTGCCCTGGTACACAGCCTTACTCAGTCCATGGGCCTAGAGCCAGAAAATGCTCTGTCTCTCCATGCCACCATCTTTGCTATTACCACTTTTTGAAGTAGGGTGGGTCATTCTTAAAGATGCTAGGATCTTTATAGATTCATTATTATGCATAAAAAGCATATAAGAATGTTTAGATAGGAAGTAAACACATTACAAGTATCTCCCTGAGGCTGTCAGCCTGCATCAGAATGAGGGGCCACGGTGCAGACAGTTGGCTGGCATCTGATTCATGCTCCTTCCAGACTCTGCCAGGCCATGAGGAGTCCTTCACGCTGCCATTCCAGCTCACAGAACTCAGGATTCTCAGTGCTTTACAGCATTTAACACTGGGCTATGAGTCAGAAGTTTTGCACTTGTTTTCTCTGCTGGCCTGTGAACTCCAGAAGGGCTGGACCTAGCCTTGCTCATGTCTGCTTTCGTCTGGAGAGATGGGAGAGCTCTGAAGGAGCAAAACCCTATTGGAGCTAGCAGAGATTGGAGTAGAGCATGACGTCAGCCTTGAAAAAGGAGCAGATCTTGTTTGGGGATACAGGGGTATATGAGGACCAAGAAATTTATGAATGGAGGAAGGCACTCACCCCGTGGTCCACCAGGTCTGTAAAGCTGAAGGGAGAAAGGGTGGGGTCAGGACTGAGGCAGCTGGAAGGTGCAGATACCATTCATTCACAGGTGACTGAAGAGGGTATGGAGTCACAGGTTCAAACTATGCCTCTTAGTGCTCACACAACTGTTGTTAGGTGTCTTCAGATAAATTCCAACACATAACAGCCTTATGTACAACAGAATGCGACACTGCTCTGTCTTGCACCATCCTCATGATTGCCACTATGTTTGAGCCCATTGTAGCCACCATTGTCATTGTGGGTCGTCTTTTTTGATGACCCTCTACTTTGCCAAGCATAATGTCTTTCTCCAGGGATTAGTTCCTCCTCATAACATGTTCAAAGGACATGAGACTAAAGCTCACCATCCTTGCTTCAGAGGAACATTCTGGCTATATTTTTACCAAACACAGATTTGTTCATTCATGGGTATATTTAATATTTGCCAATACCATAATTCAAAGCATCAATTCGACTTCAGGCTTCCTTATGCACTGTCCAGTTTTGACATGCATATGAGACGTGCATCTGCAGCTAGTCCCTAGAGAAATTGGTCCATAGAAGCAGTGAAGAGACCTGGTGAGGTAGGTGAGCAACAGTTCAAGGGCATCAAGAGATGCAAGCCACTATGGGTGCCCCAACAGTGACAGAACTAACTGCAGGTGGGAAGGAATTATGCAAGCTAAACTGTGATGCCCAGATAAGAAGATTAGATGTGGAGCAGTCGCCTTCTCATCTACACACGGCAGCGCCAGTGTCTCACCTCTCTGCCCATCATTTCAGTGTATTGAGTCTGGGAGGTATGTATGTATTCGTTTGTGTTCAATAAGAATACTCAGACATTCTTAAATGCTTAGGATAATGTCTAAATGTGTCTACACCATGGTTTTAGAAATGGTGTTCTGTATGCATGGTCTCTTTCAGATGACAGCATTTTATTGTTGTGAATTTATATATTCTAGCTTTCCTATAAATCATATGCATTTCTAAATAGTGAAGTGTTTTGTCTTAAAATATATGTAGTACTTGCACCACAAAGAAAACTATCTTTGAAGTCATTTAATCAGTTTTAAAAAATTCATCCAGCTGATATTTTGTTTGTTGTTAGATGCTTTCGAGTTGGTTCAGAGCCAACCGTAAGCACATCAGAATGAAACACTGCCCAGTCCTGAGCCATCCCCACAGTTGTTAATACACTTGAGCCCATTGCTGCTGCCACTGTGCCAATCCATCTCGGCGTTGTTGTTCTTAGGTGCCATTGAGTCGGTACCCACTCATAGCGACCCTATGTACAACAGAACGAAACACTTCCCGGTCCTGGACCAACCTCACAATTATTTGGGAGTCTTCTTTTTTTGCTGAACCTCCACGTTACCAAACATAATGTCCTCCAGGGACTGGTCCCTCCTGATACTATATCTGAAGTATGAAAGACAAAGATCTGGTCATCCTGGCTTCTAAGGAGCATTCTGGCTATT